GGAAAAAAAATTACTAAGCAGTTCAGGTTCTTAATCAAAATACTAATAGATAACAAATTAGTGCTCAATCTGGGAACATGAAGGATAGAGGGTAGAGAAATAGAATCATTAATCTTGACAGATCCCTTCCCAGCAATGGGAACATGAGATCCATCAGCTATGGGGACTCTATCTCTGTTAGAATAGAGCTGGTAAGAAGAAAAAATAGTAGAGCTATGGGTCATATGCCTTGAGGCTCTAGAATCTATAATCCAATGAGGTCCTTACTTACCTGAAGTAGAAACATAATTTGTAGTGACATGTGAACTACATGTGTGAGCAAAGGAAGTAGAGTGGACTCCACCAGTGCCACCTGTACCTTGTTGTTCGCTGGTTTAGAAGTTGCCCATACCTTTCAAGTTCGGCCCTTACTGCAGCAGCTGCAACAAACTCCAGAGCAGTTATAGTAGGAGGGGTCGGAATGTCACCAGTAGCTTCCATGTGTGCATTTTCCTTCTTATTTTTCAGTCTAGTTGGCACAAGATGTGAGTGAAGTTTCCAACAAGTATCTCTTGTGTGTTTAGGCTTTTTACAGTAGTCACAAATCAAATCTCTTTTATCTTCCTTCTTGATTTCACTGCCACCTCGATCTTCACTTTGTTTAGGTTTCACATTACTCACCATGGAAGACTGATCATGAACAAGACTTTTCATCATCACATCTCTCCTGCTCTCCTCCCCTGACACAAAGGCATATGCCTAGGAGAGGGTAACACTGTCCCTGAAAAGAAGATGTTGTCTTGCAATATCATACTCAGGATTAATGCCAACAAGAAATTCAAACACCTTATACTTCTTTAGATGTTTCTGATAGGTAGCTGCATCCTTAGTGGTTTACCAAGCAAATGTCTCTAAATGGTTAATGTCCTGCTATAGGGTTTTAAGGGCTGAAAAATAGGCTACAACAGGTCTATCTCCCTGCCTAGAAATAAGCCCTAACAACATTCTCCCTCTGTGAATAGGTTTCTGCAACCCCATCCCATATTTCCTTAACTATATTTGTCCATAAAAAAATTTTACTTATATGGGGAAACATGAAATTACACAACCAAGTTATCAGCATATAATTCTCTTGTACCCACCGGGAGTTGCTAGTTTTGGGTTTCACTTATTCACCAGTGATATACCCTAATTTCCAATGAGCACCAATGGCCATCTTTGCAGATTGTGACCATTCTAAGTAATTTGCACCATCCAACCTAACTATAGTAATGGTCATAGTCCTGAAAAGGTCTTCAACACCTCCTCCCACTTGTCATATTTCACTATCGGGCTTATTTTCAACTCCGTGACCTTCCATGCTTCTCAAAAAGTGTAAAGAAAATAACTGAAATATGCAAGAAGATTAAACGAAACACTTCTAGAACCAACAACACCTTTCTGGTGTCCTAGACTGTCTTTCCGCAAAAGATTCCTTTTCTATGGGATGAGGGAAGAGATAGAAGAGGCAACCGCTCTCTCTAGAAGCCTCCAAATCAGGCAGGACTTGAACCGCCCCTTACAGAAAACTCCAAGGAACCCTAAAAAATTAGGGCGCCACTTCATAGGTCAAAATTGAAGAGTCCAACAGAAACATGACTCTTCTCCTTTCTCTAGTTTTTCTTGATTTTGATGAGAAACCCTAGACCAACTATAGGGCACACAGATCCACCAAAAGATAAAAAAACTGGGCTTACCTGAGATCTTTGATCAACCTCTTAAATCACCATGCAGTCGGCTGATCTAGGGTTGTATGAGAAAACAACTCAAGGAACCTTCGGCCTGCTCTGATACCAAGTAGAAATCATTGATTGCAGATTTAGTCGAATTTCTTATGAAGGGAAAGAGGAGGAAAATAAAAATTTCAGTTGTAGAGAAGAAAAGAGAAGGAGAAAAGAGTAGGAAGTCAACCAAGATTCTTAGATTAACCCTAGCCGCCAACCCCTCATTATATTTATACTTAACTTAAAGGATGAGATATTACAAGGATGCCCTTAGTAGGGCGGCTACTAATGTAACTGAACAGCCACAACTTAGAAACATAAACTAATGGGCCTAAAGCCCAATAACTTCCTAACTAAATAACTTAAAATAAAAATAAAAACAATTAGGCCCAACTCAACAGTTTCCTTAAGGCTATATTTGGTTTAAAGGAAAAGATAGGGAAACCTTTACAACCCTTGTATTGGTTTCCCTGTCTTTCCCTTCCTTTCCTTAGCTTTTCCTTCAAACCAAACATAAGTGAATATCTCAATCATCCCAGCTATGACCTATTCAAGACGGCAATGATTTTTTTTTTGATTAATCAAGAAGAGGGGTTACAAGAGATGGGGTGGCACATCCCCAAATATCAGAACTATAAATAATTATTAAAGAATTGGGAAGAGAGGGAAAAGATACAGTGTTGGAATGAGCAAAATTATCAAACAAATCAGTTAGATGATCAGCTTCTCGATAGGTGTGACAGTAAACAACCTCGCCATCAATCCTGTCAATCAAAGACCTGCAACCTTCGATGATTGCATCTCATGAGACCAAAATCTTGATTTAAGGTGTTCTCCCATGCATGGGAGTCCTCACTTGACTTAAAGAATACTCAAGAATTTGCCTCTTATTTAGAAGGAAAAACTCTCAAGTGGCTTGTTCTCCACAATGAAGGGAGAGAGCTTCCACCCAAATGCTCAAAATTCAAGATGCTAGATGATCTTAGAGGCCTCTCAAGAATTATAAAGAGTGCCAAAAAAACTGAACCTCGACATGAGCATGCCAAAAAATTGAACCTCATGACCCCCTATTTGAATTTTATGAAGTTTAATGTCCTTATAATTACTTTAGACTTGATCTAAGACGACCCGAGGGCTCTCCTCGAGACAAAAATCAAGTTTTCCATCGAATTTGATTGGGAGTCTTGAGAATTAAAGATGATACTAATCTCTGGCGCACATTGTGCTATTAAATACTGTATGGTTGCCCCAAATTTGCAACCTTTTAAAATTCCAAAAAAACAAAAGTAGGAGAGAAAGCATAGCTATTTTCAGAGCTTGTGCACACCTGTATCTACTAAACCAAGGTGAAGTTAGATCAAGAGTAGTAATGCTGAGTCCGCATGGAGTTTTTCCACTGATTAACAAAGGGAGGCCAAAATGGGGTGTTTACAACAAGTTTATCTTTGGTCAGTGCAAGGCCTGTTCGCACAGTCTTACAATGGGAATATTTATACTTGTATTTTATTTCATGGAGAGATATTCCCAATGCAAAGTTGCAAGAGGCTGTTCGAACGGTGTAAGCATGAATTTGCATTGATGAAGCTGAATCCATCTACAACCATCCACTACCTATTACATACACCCCCTTGCCCATCTCATCACTCAAGGCCTTGAAGGGGAGGCATGGAGACAAACCTCACTATTGGAAGAGAATAATCAGGTTTTTGTTGAAACATCATATCCATATATATATGGTCCCCCGTCCATGACTTTTTGCATTTTCGAGTTCGCTCTACTATTGAAGGTAAAGATAATGATGAAAGCTTCACCGATCAGGTTGTTAACCTTCAAACCTCACTTCATCCTGCAGCTAGAAAACCCTGCCTTGACCCCTTCAATTCTCTATTATTATCTGACACACAATTCTCCATTATGTTGAAGCTTTTGAGTTCTAAGGCTCAGTTTGAAAGGAATAAAAGCAGATATATAGAGTGCAAAACCTTATATTTTATATGCATTTGCACAAATTGAGCCTAAAGAAAAGAACACTATATAGCCAACCAACCCGCCCATAGTATACAGATTGTTCTCGGTGCTCAAATGGTGATAGGAAGCATTTCTAATTAATTGATTCCCTTTGAATATGGTGGCACATCGAGTTGTTAGAGTTGCATTATCGTGCATTAGAATGTATACATGGTTGGTGCATCATGATTAATTATTTGTCTACAACTATGGCTTCTAAAATATGTGAGACAAGTTGATTGGTCGAAATTGTGCATTTACACTTACAAAAAAGTTGAGTGAAAGCAATGACAACAAGAGAGGTGAACATCATCAGTTTGTGGTTTGAAGAGATTAAAAAGTCCAGCCAAGCTGCAAATTATCTTGCATGTTTGGGGCTTAGTTACCGAGAAATGTGGTTAGGGTCTCAGGGATAGCTAGGGCTGTCAATGCCTCAATGGGATGGATCGGTTCTATTTTTTAACATAACACATTAATTACTCTTGAAAGCAAGTGGCTTAGAGCCACGTCAGCATCAGAGGAATTTATGTTTGGTTGGCCAATTTTGGTGATTTAAAGGAAATTAGCCAAAATCAATTATTGAAATCAACCTTTTTCAGGGATCACCTTTTTGGATGATTTCTTGATTTTTAACTAATTCTGATTTTTTTTTATGACATCCAACATGGCATTGAATAATAATTCTAATACAAAAATAATCTTGTCTTTAAAAATGAATACCAAAGAGGTTTAATCCAATTTGTCAAATATCAGCTTACATGACATAAATGATACCAAACAACAATTTTTAGTGATTTTTTATAAATCTCCTATTCCAGAGGTTATCAATAAAGAGAATCATTATCTATGCCAAATATCACCTCCATTACTTTGATTTTGGTTCTGTTATTTTGTCCCAACAAATTATTGGGTTGAGATTGGTTTCGGCTGTTTCCAATTTATTAAAACCCAAATTGAGTATTATGTTAATAACATATAATTTTTTTTTTTTTAATTTTCTTGTAATTTTTATTATATTTTATTTTAGAAAAATAATATATAAGATACTTTTGGTTAAAAATACTTGATTTATTAACATGAGAAAATCTATAATACGGAAAAGATATGTTATGGACAATTTACTTTTCCATATCATAGTCGAACCCAATTAACATATAGACAATTTACTATTTTATATAATTTTTATTAAGATTATAAGATTATATAATAAAAAATGAACCAACACCGACGCCAAACACCTACTAAGTAGTAGCTTCCCTAAAACGAGAGAAATCCACGCGGTGACTGAACGTTCGGGACTGATTAACATATCGAGTCTAATCGGATCAGACCGATTATCCCGAGGTTTTACGTTTACGGTGTACATATATGTCTTTGTACTTCTCCGGAACTGAACGTTCGGGACTGATACACCCTGTTCCGAACTAGAGCCGACCCCTCTCTCTCTCCCCCGCTTGATGCTATGCTTATTGCTAGGAGTTATTGTTTCTGGTTTTCTATTTCGACCTAGAAGCATCCCTATGGAATGTGGCTTTTGCTTTCATTTGGCAATGGGTTTATCATAAACTGGACTATTAAAATAACTTCAGAAACCAGAATGGGTTCTTGGTCTGGGTTCGGGGGTGGTGACGATGCTGGGAAAGGAAACAATATGAACAATGATGAAAAATGGTGGTTACCCATTGTCGAGGTTCTTCCAAAGAGGCTCTCTGATGATCAAGAAAATGGCTGCAATTATTGAAGGATTCTGTGAGTCAAGTATTAAAAGCAGCGACGGTCATAAATGTTCAAGTTCTATCAAAAGGGAAGCCAGAGAACTAAATTAAACCCCTCCCTAAGGTAATTCTGAGAAGAGTTCTCATGCTCTTGTTAATTCTTCTTCCTCATTTTTCTTTTTTGTTGGTATGGAAGAGCAAGCCTCGGCAACTCAATGTTATCCGAGCATTCCAGTTGATTTTTTTACCAAGAACAGTTCATCTCAACTATGTGTTGGTCAGTATATATGTGTGTGCACGTCCTCATTCTGTACTTACTGTCAAAGATATATCTGGAAGTATTCTTCAGAGTTAAACACTTAAAGTACTCTATCTGTGTTCTCACTTATAGTTTGCTTTCCTGATTGTTTATTGTAGGTAAGGGGAAAAGGAAGAAATAAAGGCCACGTTGAGAGGTCTGACATGGAAAGATGAAGGTGAAGAGTTTCTTGAATAAACAAGGTAACGATTAATCGGATTAAGCTCTGTTACTTAGTCAGTGATCTCCTATATTATCAAGTTAGAACTTCTTTGCACGGCCTTTTCTTTTTACTCATTTATTATCGCTCGTCAATCAGACTGACAAATTCTGGAAAACTGAAAAGCAAATGGTGGTTACACTCCCCCTTGGGAGTTATAGTTTTTGTTATTTTCCACCATTTTGAGTCTGATCCAACTTGCTCATGTTTTTCTCCATTTTAGCCTTTTCTGCTTCAGGATCTTAGTTTTTGCTGTATTATTTTCTCTTTTTTTCCCTTCTACTTTTACTAGGATTGCTCTTTCAAGTCTACTCATACACTCACTTAAACCCTGAAATCCTTTTTTCCTCTTTTTCTGGGTTGTAATAGGAATTCCCAGAATTGGTCCAAGGAGCTAAAGCCACAGAGCACTTCTAAGGTTAAGCTGTTAAAGCTGTGCTCAGAAAAAAAAAAGCGCTAATATGCATATTGCATAAAATTGGAAAACTGGGTTTAATAAGTTAAGATTGAATATATTTTCTTTTGTTGAAATTAGTAATTCCAAATGGATTCCTTTGGATTTAGATTTTTTAGGTAGTTAAATATGGGATTTTGGCCCTCTTGCAAGGCCTAAAAGCTAATTTTGGCCTTTGGCTCTGGATCGGGCTGAGATGCATAGGTGGTGATTTTGTTGGACGGACCGTTTCTCTGAGTGTTCTTGGACTATTCGCCATCTTATTAGAGAAGTTATATCTTTGCAATCCAGTTTGAATATCTTGCTCAGTTGGACCCCAAGATCAGCAATCCAGTTTGAATATTTTGTTGGATGAACTGTTTCCCTATTTGCGTTTTATGTATTTTCCTTGTATGCTGCATGTTGTATTTTGATATCCCTATGGAGATCTTTTCTTTTCTTGGTCTTGTTCCCTTTTATGATGTACTTGGACTATTTCCTTTTTCCTTGGTAATATTTTAAAATACTGATTTCTATTTGTCTTGCATTGAAGGAATAAATTATTGTTCTGGTCATGTATGCTATTACCGGTACAACATACTTAAGGAGTTCTCAATTCTGTGTGATAAGTCTTCCTTGGAAATAAATGGGAACACTGGTCTCTCTGTGGATGTGGATAACCAAGAAATCTTGAGAAAAGAGGAGGGTGCAATAGCTGGAGTAGATGATGTTTGCCATATCTTGGCAAGTACCCCTTGGGGACCTGCCTTGGAAAATGCCCTATTGAAGCTGTGTGAAAAACCTCAACCGCAGTTGGTAACTGGAGTTCTAGGGAGACTGAAGGATTTCAATTTAGCAATAAACTATTTTCGATGGGCTGAAAGGAAAACGAACCAAGTACAAAGTCCTGAAGCATATGATCTACTGCTAAGAATAATGGCTAGTAGTAAAAACTTTGACAGCTTTGAGCATATTCTGATGGAAATGAGTCTTTCTGGATTTGGGCTGTCAAATAATATCTGTATTGAGTTAGTCACAAGCTGTGTGAAGTCCCGGATGGTGATGGAAGCTTTCAATCTGATACAAACCATGCGGAAGTTAAAAATTTGTCCTGCATTTTCTGCTTATACAATTCTAGTTGGTGCTCTGGCTGAGATTCATGAACCTGATCTTGCTCTCACCCTCTTTCATCAAATGCAGGACATAGGCTATGAAGGGAATGTGCATTTGTTTACAACTCTTGTCCGTGCTTTTGCCAAGGAGGGCCGGATTGATGCAGCACTTTCTCTGTTAGATGAAATAAAGAGCAACTCTTTTAGTGCAGATATTGTTCTTTACAATGTTTGTATTGACTGCTTTGGTAAGGTTGGTAAAGTGGATATGGCTTGGAAGTTCTTTCATGAGATGAAAGCTCAAGGTCTTGTGCCTGATGATGTTTCCTATACTAGCATGATAGGGGTTCTTTGCAAGGCTAATAGGCTGGATGAAGCAGTTGAGCTGTTTGAGCAGATGGAACTGAACAGGAATGTCCCATGTGCTTATGCTTATAACACCATGATCATGGGCTATGGCTCTGCTGGAAAGTTTGATGAAGCATATAAGTTACTTGAAAGACAAAGGGAGAAGGGGTGTATCCCAAGTGTGATTGCATATAATTGCATCCTTACTTGCCTTGGGAAGAAGGGGAGATTTGATGAGGCTATTAGAATCTTTGAGGAGATGAAGAAAGATGCAATGCCTAATCTCTCGACCTATAATATTCTCATTGACATGCTTTGCCGGGCAGGGAAACTTGAGGCAGCTTTTGAGATTCAGAATTCCATGGAAGCTGCTGGTCTGTTTCCTAATGTATTGACTATGAATATAATGGTTGACCGGCTTTGTAAAGCTCGAAAGCTGGATGAAGCTTGCAGTATCTTTGAAAGCATGGATGAGAAAGGCTGCACACCAGATGTGGTTACATTTTGTTCTTTGATAGATGGCTTGGGTAGACAAGGTAGGGTTGATGATGCTTACAGGTTGTTTGAGAGAATGTTGGATGCAGGCATGATTGCAAATGCCGTTGTCTACACATCCCTCATTAGAAACTTTTTCAAATGTGGAAGGAAGGAAGATGGACACAAAGTTTACAAAGAAATGGTCCGCAGAGGATGCTCTCCTGACCTAACGCTTCTTAATACCTACATGGATTGTGTTTTCAAGGCTGGTGAAACTCATAAGGGTAGAGCTTTGTTTGAGGAAATCAGGACCAGAGGTCTTGTTCCAGATGTGAGGAGCTATTCTATTCTAATCCATGGCATTGTGAAAGCTGGCCATGCACGGGAGACCTATAAATTGTTTTATGCAATGAAAGAACAAGGCTATGTTCTTGACACCCTTGCTTACAACACAGTCATTGATGGGTTCTGCAAATCAGGTCAAGTGAACAAAGCTTACCAGTTGCTGGAGGAAATGAAAGCAAAGGGTCATCTACCCACGGTGGTTACGTATGGGTCAGTTATTGATGGGCTTGCGAAGATAGACAGGCTTGATGAGGCATACATGCTCTTTGAAGAAGCAAAATCAAAAGGAATAGAACCAAATGTAGTTGTATATAGCAGTCTTATTGATGGATTTGGGAAGGTGGGTAGAATTGATGAGGCATATCTAATCATGGAAGAGTTGATGCAGAAGGGTTTGACACCTAATGTGTATACATGGAACTGTTTACTTGATGCATTGGTTAAGGCAGATGAAATTGATGAAGCCCTTGTTTGCTTTCAGTCCATGAAAGATTTGAAATGCAATCCTAACACCATCACTTACAGTATTGTGATAAATGGTTTATGTCGGGTTCAGAGGTTCAATAAAGCCTTTGTTTTTTTGCAAGAGATGCAGAAGAAAGGATTAAAGGCTAATGTCATCACCTATACCACCATTATTTCTGGACTTGCTAAGGCGGGAAACATAATGGAGGCTAGTGGGCTCTTTGAGAGGTTTCAGGCAAGTGGAGGTAGACCTGACTCTGCTAGTTACAATGCTCTGATAGAAGGGTTGAGTAATGCTAATAGGGCAATGGATGCATATGGTCTTTTCAAAGAGACTCGCTCAAAAGGTTTTAACATCCATACAAAGACATGCACTGCTCTTTTGGATGCATTGCACAAGGTTGAATGTATTGAAGAGGCAGCAATAGTAGCTGCTGTGTTAAAGGAAACGGCTAAATCTCGGCATGCTACAAGGTTGTAGAAATATCATTTGAAAAATTTCCATCTTGTTGAAACTTGGAGGGAATAAGTTCTTTCCCCATACATGGGACTTCCTAGTGGCACAATTGCTCCTTGAGGAGGCATTTAGTTACCTAATTAAGATTGAATTACAAGGGTTTATGCACCTGACTTTCCAAACATCATATGAACAATTAAAAAAATATGTGGGTAACAAATACTTTCCTGTAAAAAGCTTTCTGTTCAAAATATCCTGTTGGAATTTACACTCATTAAAAGAAACAAAGAATAAGATTTCTAAATTCCTTAAAAATGTAGGACCATAAAAAGCCATTAAGGAACTACCTATCCTTGGTGTATATTTGTCCCTTAATATACCAAGAGTCTATATTCCTCCTTTTATAGTCTCATGAATGCACTCTATTAGTTATTGCATTGTAGTATCTTGTTTCGAGTGTATTGGTGATTTGCATCTATTCCAAGCTCATGCTTTGTTGATGCAACATGTGAAAAAGCAAAAACTTGTAAACTTATAACCACCAACCTGGCATTGGATGGAACCAGAGTCTCCCAGTCATAATGAATTTTATCACTTACTTTTATATGATACATTGCTATATCTTCATAAGAATGGCTTATATTTTACTACAACAAATATAACAAAAACTAAGGCCCATTCGGCCCAATCTCTCTAAAGTATCAAAGTCAGAAAAGTTAAACGTAGGGTTTTTCCTCTTTATTCTAGACAGTAAGGAGGTAGAGGAAGTTTTGGATTGTACCAATAAGGTTAAATCTCCGGACTTAAGGTTGAGTAGGTGGAATCTACTGGTCGGAGCTATATGCAAAGTGGGTTTTAAAAGCTTGGTTTGGATAAATGTCTTTGACATTTCTCTTCACATTTGGTGTTTATAGACATTCTGTGTAGTGGGGGATACTTGTGGGAGCTTTAGGAAAATTGACCCTTGGACAAATAGGTGGAAGAATTTGACAATGGTGCTAATTCTTGTTGAAGTAGTATAAATTCATTTGGTCCATCATCTTTGATGTTGAGCTTTGCCAGTGAGGGGTATGAACTAAGATTAGTAGTTGAAGGTTGCCTGCCTTTGCATTGTCTCGATGGTTATGCGAAAGTGGAGTAGGTTCAAAGGTGGGAGATGAAAGGTTATAATTTGATTTGGGGGAGTCAAAAGGTCAGGGGGTGGGTGCCAGGAGGTTGAAAATAAGGGTTTTTAGGAATTAAAAGCATTAATGATGTTGAGTAGGGTGGGTGCCTTGAATTACGTTTTGGTTTTGGAGTTAAAAGTAAGGAGACAAAGGGTTGTGAGTCAGGCTTGGGGTTTGTCAATTGGGTTGGAGTCAAATCAGGTTTTTGGTTTGGGTTCGGGTCAGATGGTTAAAAAGGGAGTTTCAAATCGAGGTGGGTTTGACATTTCAGCTAGGCTGATCAGGGTCTTCATTTGATCCCCTTAGAATTGAGGTGGGTTGTGTAGGGTTAAAGCAAGTTTTCCAGAGAAATTCTTAAGTGTGCTTATGATGTCACTAGGCCGCTGTTCTTTGTTGGCATGGTTGATGTGCCATTGATGCCTAGGGGAGAGGTTAGCTGGGGCTTTTAAGTGTTGCTGAGGATCAGGGGAATTGTAGTGACTGTGTAGGGTTTCTTACTCCTGGGGATTCAGATATATCGAAGGAGATGGTGTTTGAGGAGACGATGACGAGTTCCTCGACTTCAAGTGAGACCTTTGGAGTAATTGGGAGCGAGAAAACTGATCTGGTGGTTGGTGAGATTAATTTCGCTTCTTTTGAACGACCTGGGGAGGGGTGGCAGTCGTTTTGGGTTCAATTGAGGTTTCCAATCTTCCGGAGTTTGGGAGATTGATGATAGAGGAACTGGTAAGGTTAAATGTTAAAGGAGGTTTTAGTGGCGGTCAAGAGGGAGAAGACTTGGTGGAGGGGGGTTGAGTAGGAGGATGTAAGTCTTTTTCGATGTTGAGAAAGGGGTTTCTTAGTTTTGTTTGAATGATTTGCTGGAGGCAGTGCAGTTGGCTAGCGATGGGGAAGTTGTGGTGAAGAACCAACAGTTTGAAGCTAAGGTTAGGGGTGCGGAGGTCAAAGAATCAAGAATTTTTGTTGAAGTTTCTATTGGAAGTTTGGGCAAATATTTGGGTAGGAAGAGGTTGGAGAGTGGAAAGTTTAAGGTTTTTAAAGAAGATAAAGTAAAAAATAAAACTTCTGTGATTTCAAAAGATGAAGGGTCCAAAAAATAGTCAATTGGTACATCTAACAGAGATTTCCTCTCGGTCAAAAGAAGGAATTTGTGGGGCTGGTCTTCCAATAAATTTAAAAGTGTATATTAGGAAGAATATGAGATAAATTAGGCAAGGTTAAGCAAAGCCAAGGATTTGGGTTGAAGGAGCCTGAGGTTATCTTCGATAGTCAAGCGGTTTCTGGTTGTTAAGTTTTTGAAGAAGAGGCGGGGAAAGAGGATACTGAGTACTGACGTAAGGGTGGAGTTTGAGGAAAATTCAATTGAGTCTTTTGGGATCAGAAAATATAGAACAAAATCTATTGAAGAACTAGAAGGAAAAGGAGGAGAGGCCTCAGGTGAATCTCTTTAAGAGAGGGACGTGGAAGTGGATGAAACTCATGTTGTGCAGGGTAAGTTTCTGGAAGAGGTGCTTAACAAGGAGGTGGAGCTGAGTAAAATCTTAGGGTTATTCTTCGTTGGGGGTGAGGAATTTGCAAGAAAAGTTCTTAGAGAAATTGAAGAGAATGGAGGCCACTTTTCAAAGAGGAGAGGGACAATTGTAGGAGGGTAAGATGGTTCTATTTGAAGCTAGTCTCTTCTTGGCTTTTTGTAAGTGGTGGGAAGAGGTGTTTGAAGTGTGGGGTAAGGTTGAGAGTTTGAGGGGATTCTCATTGTAAGGTTTTTATGGGGGTTGTTTCTGTTCTGTTTTGGTGGGTTATGTCTTATCACCCCTCCTGTACTTCCTTTTTTCTTATTGAATATTTTCTTGTTTATTTAATTTCAAAAAAAAAAATCAACACACTACAAGAAAAGGGACTTTTATCTACTTCAGTCTAGCCACGGACAAAGATCATAGCTGAAATACAGGTTATTGCTACAGGCGCTTTATGTCTGTAGCTAAATTAATTATCTTAACTGTGTTTTAGCTACAGTCATTATGTCGATAGTTATATAATGTTTGTAACCATGGGATTGATATGTCTATAGCTATATCAGACATGCAAGTGTATTGAAAAGGATATTGCCACAGCCAATGCCAATCTTAAATGGCTGTAGGCCTGTAGCCACATCCTACTGTGTTTAAATGTGGTCACTGCACCCTAAATTGACACTACAACATTCTTGGTGCCTAACCAAAATATATCCCCACCTCTCACCTCCATCTCCCCCAAACCATTTCCCCTTCTTCCAATCATCATTGGCTGTTTCATCTCTTTACCTCTCCTGAACACACCTCACAGGTTCATGGCAGATGATCAGCACTGTCCATTAGAAGCATTACATCAACTGCCATTTCTCTTCCTTCTCAGGCCAAGGTTGCTGACACAATCATCATCATCAAACACAGCTCACAACAGACCATCAGTACAGCCCATAAGATGCATTACAGCCATTGCCATTGCCTCTTTTCAATGTTATATTGTCTTTCATCTCTTTCTAATTTTCTAAATAATTTCCTTTCTCCCATCTCCTTCATATCCCCATACCATAAAACCCTAACCAATCGTCCTCCATAGCCCTTGTTGATACCAATTGCAATGGAACGAAGAGTCTCAGACCTTCACCTATATGTGCTGATGTGGAGATTTGTTCCAGTCACCAAAGAGGAGCTGAGATTGGGAAAGAGATCTCTATGTAAGAAAATCCTTAACCATCTTTCTGTCCTGGGACAACCTACTGATTCTGGTATCACACAAACACCAAATTCCCTATAGTATTGCTTGAGTTGACAGAATCTAGCTGGAGAAACGGAAAGAGAGAGTAAGGCTTCTGGAGGGACTTAAATGTCTGGTCGAGGATATTGATCTTGAATACAAGATTCCAGTGCAATCTTATTTTGGTTTGAGGTGTAGTTTAGATTGTCTAATCTCGCCTGGAGAAAACAGGCATTCTTGCAGAGTCCATGAAGCAAACCTTCTGAAAGTTGAACAGAAGATTGTCTAATCAAAGTTGAAGCTTTGATTTGGTTTGGTGGAGTAGTTGGATTTAATGATGAAGAGCTATGGCAGGTAGTTAATTTTTTCTTTGGAATTGAGTTCTTTCTGATCACTGATTTGAGTAAGGAAATGAAGAAAATCCAAGCAATTTTAGTGGGTCATGAGTTAGAATCTAGAGTTCTGGAATTCAAGCATTTTATAGGCAGCAGAGCTTGATGGGCAGAGAGGGCTCAAGGAGTAGGTCATGGCTGTGGTTAATTGGAAGTGAATGAAGATGGTAGTGCAGATCTGCATTTCGAGGCATTTCAGATGAGTGACATGTGCATTCGACAGTTCAAAATGGATAGCTTGAGATAGATTATGGAGAAATATTTCATCACAAGTTCTCTCGGATGAAGAAAAATGTGATGGCTGGAGTGAAGGACACCAAGGAAGTCGACAACGGTTCTTCTTGGTGGTGGCGAATATTATAGATCATCAGGTGTGTTTTTCAGCTATCAAAATTTGTTGTTTTACTATTCAAGTTATTTCTTACTTGCAGATTTAAGTTTTAAAGGGTTCAAGGCTCATTGACTTGTGTGTTGATTGAACCCAAACAAATTAAGAAACTAATAAAAGGAAACTATTATAAGAATAATAATATTCTCACAATTTAGTCAATTAATATCTATTGTACTATTATAAATAACATAAAATAAAATATTAAAGGATTTTGGTATTTTGCATATATTTTTTATATAAATATATAAGCGGTCCTAGACATCGCTTTGACAATATGATGAATCATTCGTCTTCCCTCAATATCACTCATCTGACATGAATAATGAATTATTGAGGCTCTTGCAGATCTATTTTGGCAGTAATTAAGATTGCATATGACAGATTGGGATCGATTCCAATGTAAATTTGATTAGTACGGTACGGCCAGCTTGGGAGAACATATGAGATTTCCACTCACCCATTTCATCTTTAATCTTCTGTATGAGCGCTTAAATCGATATTGCGTGGAGAGGAAAGTCAGAACTTTTGGAATAAAGTGCAGAGATGGAGATTGGGAGAATAGAGAGGATACTCACCCTGAAGGAATTTCAGGGATGCTCTTTGAACTGTTTACAAATCATTTGGAAACACACCAAATATCAGTCACATGTTAATAACGTAAAGTCCCATTTAAAGCGACAGTAAGCTACATTAAGAATTTTTCAGGGATACTACTATTCAGAGAAGGTTGGGAAATGCATGAACTATCATTTACATGCTGATCTTGTTATGGACCCGTTCAAAACGACAGTGAGCTACATTCTATCTTGAGGTGACTCTGAGGTCGGCCTTCCTGGGCTTTTATTTTCTATAAGCGTGGCTTGGTTATTTACAACAACAGCAGGATAAGGACTTTTAACCGTATATATAACATTTTGTCAAGCATCTCACATGTCCATGTCGTCAAATATATCTCCATCTTCTTCGTCACTCAAGTCATCTGTCAGAAATCCATCTGCTACTAAATTGCTGCAAACAAACATCAACCAAATGAGAGCTCAGAAGGATATCGAACTGCCCACTCTCTTTGCAATCACATCTCATAACTGATACGATAGAAAGCACACCTTAAGCAGCAGCAACGGAAGCTCACGACACGCTTCAGCTTTCTATTATAGAAGAAGAAATTGAATGACCATCTGCCAACAAATGCATGCAGGCATCGCGTTAAGACTTAAAACAATACAGGGATTTTTGGTATAAAGAGGTCATATTCTTACATGGCTCCTCTCTCCAAGAAAGGATCTCCATCGGAGTCTGGATTGTAACTGTATATCTCACATTCTGCTAGTTTTACAACCTGCATCACCATTTGCCAGATATTGTAATTAACTGCATTTGACTATAAGAGCTTGCTCCCATGCATGTCTTGTATGCTCACCTCATCAAGAGTTTTGTACAAACTTTCCAGCAAGGGGCTGCCCCCATTAATCTCAGCCCATTCCTGCATTAAAGATATGTATATCAGAAGCTAAAGTAATGATTCATTTTGGGAACGTACCATTGATTGATGATTGAAGGCAATGAAAAATGTCAAGTAAAATTCAGCAATTTGATGGGATGGAAAAGTCTGTCTAAGCATGGGATGGCTACCAGAACCATAAACCTGCAGTGCTTTTGTCATTTGTATCTTTGGCCATGCAAACAAATCCAATAGGCCTGTACTTTCTTGTGTTTTCTGTTGTCACTGATTCTCCAGGAATATGGAAACTAAAGTGCATGTAGCATGTAGTTTCTATTTTTAAAATTTCCAGAAACAAGTTTGACCATGAGTGCACTTATAAGAAGCTGAATTAGCTTCATATCATAAATAATTACATAGATATGGCATACCTTTGATGCTTCAAACATGTAGGTGTCAAACATAAGCCTGAAACTGTCCAATTCTTCCTCTCTAAAGAATTGATGAGCTCGCAAGGCACTGGTAACCGTAAACATGTTTGCAAATATTGTTATAAACAATCAATTACACAGCAACACATGCATCAGTAACATAGCAACTGGATGTATCATTGTGGAATAGAAGACTGAGCAGTTTGGATGACCAGAATTATTTTTTTTTTTTGGGAAATGGAGAGACTTGAACTCTCAGCTCTTAGAGCAACAGTTATTTAAACCGTCTGTCAAACCATTTGACAACACTTCCAGCACTGGTGAGAGGAGAAAATAGCGGGTTGCCATGCCGCCCAATAAGCTGACAGTGGCATTACCCATAATCCTCCTCCAGATCGTTATAAAATGTACTTTATACCATTGGAAACAGAGATACCTGAAATCATAATCTGGATACATGTGACTGAGTGTAAGAATCAGATAAACCAATGTCTTTCGGCTGGAATGAAACCAAGAAGGATATTGTTAAAGAACGACAAATGAGCTTTTTATAAACCCACACGAAGTATCATCTACCCACCTGGATCTACTAGACAAGAATTCAGCAGAAGATGGGGAGTCACTGTCTGAAGATTTTCCAAGATAATCAAGAATCTGGATTAAATGGAGGAAACAAATCAATTCCCAAGCTAGAAATTGGAAAAAAAGACTGAAAATGGTAAATCAAAAAATTAACAAAAAGTTATTAAATAGCATCCAAAGAAATAAATGAAATTATGCATCAAGTATCTTGAAACCCTACTCCATATGGAAAACAATTAAAGAAAAGTCAAAGTAAAAGAATTGGGACAAAGATTCATAAAGGTTAAAACTGTACTGTCTCCAGTCCAGACTAACTTGTTGTAACATAATTTTCTATCCTGCAGTTCGGCAGATGCTCCACAGAAAAAAGTTTCCATGGGTTTGCTGTGGTCACAATATCACCAAGACCCGCCTTTCAGCTAGTGTAATGCATCTTCATGCTTCTTAATATAAAAGTTTTATTAAAAATATAAAGAAAAATGAGATTCTCCTTCCTCTTCTTCCTCCTCATCCCCCTCCTCATAAGGAGATTTACGCCTCCTTGTAAGTATGGGGTGGTAAATTTTGGGTGGGATGTGAGGGAGGTAAGATCATCCTATGGGGTGTGTGGAAGGGAATTATGAGGTTTCACTCTTTGATGCAACCTTTCTTTTCTTGGAGACTGGGGAATGGTGCTACTGTTAGGTATTGGGGAGATGAATGGCTTGGAGTTGGGACATTATGTGAGCTGTTCCCAAGGCTTTATAGTCTAAGCAAGAAGGGGGTGACAATTTCTGAATGCTACGAAGTTATAAAAGAGTAAGTGGCATGGTGTCCTAACTATAGAAGACCATTGTTGGATTGAGAGATGGAGGAATGTGTGGGGCTGCTGTCGAAATTGCAAGAGGTGGTGGTTGATCCCTCGATGTCAGATTCAAAATGGTGGAAGGAATGCATGAATGGAAATTTTACAGTCAAATCTCTTTATGATGCTTTGCTTAGGAATCAGGTGGAGCCCTAGGAAATAAAAGCTGAGGAGGAAAATATATTACAGCTGCTACTCCAATGAATTTATGTGAGAGGAATTTGGGGTTACTTCTTCAAACTTTTTAACATGGTGGTTTCCCAATGATTATGCTGAGATTTTTGGAAGCTGGCCTAGAGTTATTAAGAATACTAAAACAAAAATCATTTGGAGTTGCATCCCTTTGCAGTATGTTGGGAGGTTTGGAAGGAAAGAAATAGAAGAATTTTTGAAGGGAAATTGAAAAGCAATAAAGAATTAGGGTCATTAATCAGTTCGAAGATAGTTGGATGAGTTTCAATTCTTCCAGAATTTTAAGGCCTCGGCAAATAAAACTTTGGAGTGGAATTATGGAGTTCCTTGAATGTTGGGAGGTTTGGAAGGAAAGAAATAGAAGAATTTTTGAAGGGAAATTGAAAAGCAATAAAGAATTAGGGTCATTAATCAGTTCGAAGATAGTTGGATGAGTTTCAATTCTTCCAGAATTTTAAGGCCTCGGCAAATAAAACTTTGGAGTGGAATTATGGAGTTCCTTGAATGTTTAAGTTGTTTTTTGTATTCTGAATTAGTGATCTGATCAGTGATTTGATTGTATCTTTTTGGGTTTTCAGTTTTGTTTGATGAATGGTGACTTCTTGTCACCTAGAAGTTGTACCTTGTTATTTTTTTTTCAATAATTTTTATTTATCTTCAAAAAGATAAAAAAATTCCTCACTTCCAAGGGCATGAGAGATTGATCCAGTCTAGCAAAAAAGTGTTACAAGGCTGCCTTCTTTCCAGTGGCCAACTTGTCTATATTATTTAAGATCCCTCCTATTTTCATCTAGGGCAGTCACCAGTGTTTTAAAAGCGCAAGGCGCAAAAAAGGTGCAGAGGTCAATTTGCGCCTGAGGTGCAAGGCGCAAGGCGCAAGGTGAGACGCACACCTTTTTGAAGCAAGGCGCAGAATACAAAAAAAAGGCTAAAAAATAAAAAATGCCAGAAAATTCAAAAAATCCAAAAAATATTAAACATAATATTAATAGAAAATATAAACTTAAATTTTAAAATAAATGTTTTAAAAAATCTATTATCTAAAATTAAAATACATAAACATAAGATGTAAAGCATATTCAAATGAGAATTTAAAAATAAAATCAAACATATGAAACATTTTCAAGCATGTAAAACCTCTAATCTCTTTTTTTTACTCAATTGCATTACTTCAACTAGCTAATGTAATGTAAAACATATTACATTCCTGATTCTACAAGCTGCCTTTGTGCCACGCCCCTCAAGGCAAGCCCAAACAAGTCCATGTTAGGTGTTAAATTCTTAGTTCTCACACAAAAAATAATGAATTTATAATTTTAATTTCTTTTTAAGAAAATATTTTATTAGGATGAATGAATGAACAACATTAGCAAATAAGGGGTTCTTGGAGCTTTAGTGAGTGAGCAAACCCCCCAGCCCAATCGCTATGTTCAAAAAAAGCAAAAAAGCGTCAAATTTTCAAAAGGCACATGCCTGCGCTGAGGCACAAGGTGCATCAGGCGCACCAGGCGTGTGCCTTTTGAAAGGGCTGCACCTAGGACCTAGGCGAGGTGCATACCCTAAAATGCGTCTCGCCTGTGCGCCTAGGCACACCCTTTTAAATCACTGGCAGTCACATGATTTTGACAAAATAGATTGTAAAACCAGAATGGAGATAGATAGACTAAAAATAAAAGCTAAGATATTGTATGGGAGTTTTTCTCCATCCTTGTTAGTTTATACTCAGTGTTTAATAACAATGTCCTGTACAGTACAATATCTATATCTTGCATCTAAAGGGATACCCAAATGCATGGTAGGAAGCTTTCAACCCTGCAACCAAAAGTATCTATCAATTCTACCAATTTTCTTCACCACTTGATGCCATACATCTTGCTCTTGCTAGGGTTGAAGCCCAAATTGCTTTTTTTAGTATCGCACTATCATATTAATTGGATTAACCCATTACATCAAATACCCATGTACACTGTGTAGGATGATGGAGCAGCTGTGGTTTGTGGAATTTCTGAAAGTTGCAGATAGTGATGTAATCAGAGCTGAAAGATGAGAAATGATTCCCAATCTGGTGATCAAAGAAGCTAGGGTTCTGGTTCTGCTGAACTGATAGATGAGGGAGGAAAGTTGGTTCTCCTTGTCTGTAATGGGATCTGATCCCTGCTTTTGTTCTTGCTCTAGAAGCTTCTGCATTAATCCCTTTTATAGTTGTTCATCTTGATTTGTGTGCCTTTAAGGGGGCGTTCTTTTTTCGGATTTTGAGAGGGGGGAAAGTGATCAATGGGATTTTGGTTTCCATTGACCAAGAATCCCATGTTCTTTTTTCAGATTTATGTGGGGACCAGGGAAAGCTTATTTTCCTGGGTACCACTTACCCAGGTAAGTGATACCCATCTCCTAGGTGGGTAAATAACTTTCCCACCTAGGGGGGAAATTGCCAACACTAGACTGGGACAAAAATGCCCCTTTTAATAATGGATTTTTATGGCTAAAATGGTCATTGCCTTATTTACATGAGAAATAAAAGAACATGGGTAAATGCACTTACCCAGGTAAGTGTTTCCCAGGAAAAAACTTACCCAGGTAACTGCATTTACCCGGGTAAGTAACTTACCGAAAAGCAAACAGGGCCTAAGATATCATGAAAAAAGCGAGGTTGTGATTGGCGCAGGAATATCTTTTGTCAGATATCTCAGTTAGTTATGCCAGGTCAGCATAACGAGTTACAGGAAAGACACACAGGGAATGTGGTACTAGACTGAGCATTTTTCTCAAGTCCACATGCATCTCCCAAATGCAAACTCAGCCACATGTTGCTGTCTGTAGCACAGTTTCACATATCAAGATAGAGGATGATGTTTAGCAATGTTTCAGTGGCTAGTGTGGCTGTTTTGTACACCCATTCATGCTTTACGATGGTGTTGGACATGTCCATGCTTTTACACACTGAGGGGATGTACAAATGGGAACACAAAAAGTATAAAATAGTAACCTTTCAGCCTATAAACACCTTATCCTTGTCAAAAGAAAAAAAAAACTGTTACCAGGGATTCCTTTAAACTCTTTAATGTCATACAACCTTGAACATAACTTCCCTTTCACTCTTCCTAGAACTGCCGCCATTTCATTTTCCTTGTTCTGAAAGACATACGGATTTCTTTCTGTCCAAATGCACCAAAAAACAAAAACACCAGATCTTCCCAAATAATCTTTGTTTCCCTACTCAAAACCTACTGGCCTCCAGCCATGGAGAAAGTATTCTACTGATTCCACAAAGCATCCCCTCCAACCAAAAGTGTCAAGAACTCTGTCCAAACCTAAGAAATAAACAGATAATGTAATAATAAATGGTTTACAAACTTTACCTGAGATGTACACAAGATGCATTGGACATTTATTCCAGAGATCCTGTCTACACAAAAAATGCTACTTTAGACACCACCTTAAATCACCAGATCTTAGCACTTGAAAATCCATTTGGAGAGTGAACCTCCAGGCTCCAATTTCAAATAAAAAAAAAAAAAGCTTAACCAAGCAGCAGCCTGACCTATCCCAATTCTAGCACCTTCTATCTGACTGACCCACCTGAGGCTTGACTACATGGTTTGAAGCCTATAATTGATTCAAGATACATAAGAGTGCTCTCATATATCAGCATGTTTGTGCCTTACTAAAAGAAATGGTCATTTCCATATATAGGTGGAACATGATTGGAGGTGCATGACCAACTAAAAGAACTTCCAATCAACAACCCAATTCAACCATTTGAAAAAGCATGCTTAGTACATTACCTTTTTTCAGCATCCACTGCCAAAGTTCTCTCAGCTTTTTAAAAATTCCTAGTAGAATCTCGTTAAGGATTGATGGGGGGAAGTAGTGTCAAGGAAAACTTTAATCCATTCCTTCATATCAAGTCCAGAAAACCATTTCATACAGCAAATGATCGCATCACAATACAAGAAATCATACACAATCCCAATCTGTATTCTGTGAACTGCTCTTGGTTCCCACCATGGACACTAAAATCAAGCATTGTTGCGCCTCAAAAGAATATTTTCAACATGTAATCAACATCACAACAATTGTGATCATATGCCTTCATATATGTTTTGTGAACTGTTCTCCAGGTCCCACTATGAGATATAAAATTGAACATCAAATTGCAGCTAGGAACCACTAAGAACAATTATGGTTCCACATAATCTAAACAATTGCAATCAACATATGCCTTCTTCATATATGTTTTGTGAACTGCTCTCCAGGTCCCACTGTGAGATATAAAATTAAGCATCAATTGCAACTAGGCACCACTAAACCATTATGGTTCCACATTCTATAAGAGGGACATTATACAACCCATTACCTTATGGAGTTTGGATGTCAATACCTTGGCTAGTTTCTAGATACAAATAAGCAGCATCATGGGTTAAACGTTTATTCTCTCTCTCTCTCTCGTATTTTTAGCCATTTCCATCATTGATAACAATAACATTCTTATTTAATGTGATGAAAACATAATGTTAAAGACATGCCCAACTTTTCTGCAATTTTCTATATTTTATTATTTAATTTATGACATCATGGGTAGATCTATTTGACCCAGATGATTGAACCACTGACCCACCACCTAGTAAAATAAACAGTTCCATTACTGGGTTGTTTTAAAAACATTACAAATATGTGGAAAAAATCCATTACCCAAAATTGGTCCTAGTTATAATGGAGCCTTGAGAGGGGTGGATTGGATATGGACCTAACCTTATCCATTTTTCATGCAAAGTTTCTGCTCTCAGACATGAACCTGCATTTTCATGCTTGCCAGCCTGAGATTTTACCATTACAAGCAGCAATGGTATAAGTAATAATTTGCTTAGTTTTCTACTTCTCATGAAACTTTGCATAAGTTGCAAGTACTCCTTTCAAAGATGGAATTAGCACAAAATTCACCCACTAGCTTCATAAAATCCTTGTCAACGGAGCCGTCTGGAGGATAAAGTCAGCATGACATTTACCCATTCCCATCATAAAATCTTTTATGATTATAAACCAACAACACTTGCAAAAGCTTCTATACTAAATTTCCAGTCTAGCACTTTCACACCACAAGGATTAGTAAGGAACTTCATTCCTATCATAAACCTTCCCTAGGTCATCAACAAGCTCCAAGGGTGTTATATCAACATCTTCATATCTTGCTTAGACATACATATATGCACACACAAAAACATCTCATAAATGTATCTGAAAAATTCATTAATAAGAAAAAGAGACTCTGTATGAAGATAATTCAAGATAGCAATGAATCTGAACAAGTTAATTTCCCAAGATATACATTTGGCAATATTACTATTTAATGAGAAAGCAAATCCACACATACAGAGTTTATAATAAAAATGCAAACATGTTAGTTACCTCATGCTCCAAACTAAGAGACAGCTTCCTATCTACTCCGATTTGTTTGCCTACGAACAGGAAGTAGAAATAGTTAATCATGTTTTTCAAATCACATAACATAGAAAACTTGGAGTTACAATTTCTTTGTACGTACAAGAATAAGCTTCGAGTTTTCCTTTGATGGTACACTCCCCAAGATTTATATGACTAAGGAAATCATTTATGCTGAACAAAGAAATGATTGCTTATTAGAAAAGCCTAATAGTGAACGACAAAAAGAAACTGTATGGAAGACAGGAAAAAGATAAAAAAAAAACACACTCCTAAAGAAATTGCTAAAGCCGTCCAAAGTGGTGGGCTCTTAAAACCAAAGTTCTGATGCTTCTTTCATAATATACTATGACTTAAGAAATACCTGTCTAGAAGAGCGTATTCCAAGAACTTCATGTTTGAGTCAAAGTTCAAAATTGTTATACTGATCTGAATTTCGTCCTTATCTTATCAAAAGCTGACCATTCAACATGCAATAAGCATTACTTTAGAAATTCTGCTAGGAAAAGAAGTTAACGGCCATGAACACTGACAAGTTGCAATGGTTGAAGCAAAGATTAAAATACAAAGTGAATAGGAAGTGAACATTTCATACCCTTTAGACACCACAATGTTTTGGCTACCAGTCTTTCTTGGACAATTATATGGGCCTATACCTCTTCAATGCCTCCGAATAATTATTATCACGGTAAATCACAGGCCTTGGGCGATTTGACACAGCCTGCTGTACTACTATATGTTAGACTTAACTATACTGTATTGACATACAAGGTGGAACCCCCTGAAGGTGTTAGCAGTAGGTAATTACCAAATTACCCATACCATTTTTATGCTGTTAAAAATCTGGTGGTGGAGATAGTAGAAGAGAATATTAGGATGGAATAGGTAGAAATGACAAATGACAATAAAAATCTGGTGGTGTGGGTGAAGGCAGAGGTACTAGTGGAGGTGGATGAACTGGTTGTGGTGGAAAAGGTACAAATGCAAATCCTGGAAAAGAAGGCAGGGGTGAAGATGAGATAAGAAAAAGGTAGTGATGCGTGGACGATGGTGATGGAAGGTGGCAATAGAAAAATGGCAGTGGATGAGGTGATGAATGCACATGTATTTGCATACATAAAATTTATAGGGATAAGTAGAATGCAGTCCACCTAAAAAATGTGAAATTATAGCCCCCTCCTAGTCTACTAGTAATCCCCTGTAAACCCATCCTACCCGTGGATTTGGCATTGATCCATGGTCTCGGTGGGGCTCAGATTTCTGGGGTGGACTGAACTAAAAATACCCTAAATTTATATTTCTTTCTGACAAATCCTTTCATTCACTTTTTTTTTGGTAAACCAACCTTTTTTCATTCACTTGTACACCATAAGAAATCCTCAAATCCCCCATCAAATAACATTTGCTACGACACTGTCGTCGCCTCTCGCTGAAACAACAAAATCAAGGCGTTTGATGCCTTTCTATGACCCCACCTGAACTAGATGAAGTACGGTGGGGCCACTGCAACAATCAAAGGCCTTGATTCTGGGTTTTAGCTCCACTGTCTTAGCAAAAGTGAACTCAATTCCCATATTCCTATTCATCAAAAAAAAAAAAAAAAGAAAAAAAAAATAAGGGCAATAGCTATTCGAAACCACTCTCACATATTTTCTCTTATAACTTTTCTATAATTTGTTATGGACATGATTGTCATATTAGTGGCTTGTTAGATGACGGGTACCATAGTAGTCTTATCTTCAGTTTTTGAAACGTTTCAATTCAGAAGATTATAAAGGACTTCAATTCTAAGATTAGGGCTATTAGGCATATTCAATCTTCTTCTCTTTTACAAATCTGGAAAAAAAATCACCTTCGTCTAAAAGAAATTCAGAATCTATCTCTAGAATTATTTGTTTATATCTTGCATCATCATCATATTCAACAAAGGTTTCACATAAAGCATTTCTATGATCCAACATCACAGATCACATCACAATCAAAAAGGAAACAAAACAATTCAATTTGAAAATGGAAAAAAAATAAAGAGAGAGATAGAGTACCTTACACCATGCGGAGAAATGCTCTTCAAATCACCTATCTTCTCTAACTTACGCTCTTAATTATCCACCAGAACCCAAAATTTCCGGGATATCCACTAGAATCCCAAACAGACACCAATTCAATAATGAAGAAATTTAAACAGAGAGAGAGAGAAATGGTTAGAAAGAAAAGGCATTTCAAATGGATAACCTAAAGTAATCTGAAATCAAAACGCCGGTGATTCGAATTGATTCCCTATGGCGTTGGACGCTTGGAAGTAGGTGGGATTTCCGGCTGCGTCGTTACGTATGGTCTCCGATATATGCGATAGGACGGATAAGAACAAAGGAAGTTGACGGCGATTTCTGCCTTTGCCATACTTGTACGCGGAAAATATTTGGCTGTCGCTATCTACTCCACAGACCTCTCTCTGCGTGACACCGTAGTTCACCATAAACTCACAATCATATGTAACAGTGTCCAAGGCATCAGTATAAACTAACGTGTCGTATGGATAGAGCCAGTAGACAGCGCAGGCTGCCAAATGTTATGCTGACTCATCATCTCGAGTCGCCGGCGCGTGACTCGTGCACGTAAGTCCCGTGAATGTACGAAATACGAAGTAAATCAATGTTTTAAAAACCTATCCGGAGATCGAACCATTTTTGCTTCGGGTCATGTATCACTGGTTCAATCGCCTATGTCGGTGAATGTGTGTATGTATCTCTATGTGTATTTTATCAATAAAAAATATATAATTATTTATGAAATATAATATATATATTAATTTATGTTTAATTATATTTTTAAATTTTATTTGTAAACAATTACTATTTGAGGACTACAAGGGTTTTTTTGGTGAAAATGGTGGAGTTTTTGACATCTTGTGGCACATAGATTTCCAAAAGTTATTCAAAAAAAAAATAAAAATCACCTCAATCACACTCCAGAAATTTACATTGAGTATATAACCCACAACCTAGTGATTGGGTTGAACTATCCGGGTAAGATGATTTTTGACTAGGTGAATATTTTTTTACTAAATGGCGGGTTTTAGTAGAATTGGACCCAGAATCAAGGAATGAGTGATGATTCAAAGGTTCAATTGATTGGGTTAATGGTGGCTATTATGGTGTAGACCACCTATTCATAGGCCGAATTGGCCCAACCATCGGCCCTAGATCTTGAGCCCGAGTCCAGTCCTATATAAAACACATAGCCCGATTTAGATAGATCTTTTATAATATACTAATATATTATATATTATATGATATTTTATATAGAATATTATATAGTGCATTGTACACTAATAATATTATTACTTAATATTATATATCTTCTGTTATGTATATACTATTATCAAGTCGGGCTTGGACTGGGTTGGACTTATTTGAAAAAGCCTAACCTGAAAAATAGTTGGGCCTAATGTTTAAAGCTTAAACCTGAGTGCTGGGAATTCACATCTATGCCCCACGAGGGGGCACCCCACAGCACATCCCCATCTTGTATTGAGAACATCTCCCAATGAAGTCTTATCATCTCCGAAAATATTCCCAATACAAGGTGGGGATGTGTTCCCAATACAAGATGGGGATGTGCTGTGGGGCGCCCCCTCGTGGGGCGCACATGTAAACTCCCGAGCTCGTGGTAATATCTCGTTGCCCTGGCTAAATTGCTATCATGGTAGCTTATACTAACGGTCACGTGGGCAACCGGAATGTTTAACAAATGACGTTTTTATTACTTTTACCAGCCGTTATGGTCAAGAAAGGATTAAAACCTGCCTCCAAGCCTGCCAAAGGATTGGATATCCATTCATTTAATTTGTTCCTAAATCTATCTATAATAGATCCATCCCATTGTAAAATTATTATTTTTACACAAAAAATGGAGGATCCATTGGTTAATCAGTCTACACATCCATGGCACTTGTGCTATACATCGTTTTATTTTTGAAAAAAAAAATCCCCTTTACTCTCCCTTTTACAAGTTCATATTTACTACATCCTAACAAATGATGGTGCCACTTGTTCTATGATACATGAGTTTCTCATATATTAGGATTGAATAAGCTCAAATAAAGCAAAACTAAAACTTGGTTATAGAGATTTTAGTATAACTTTAATACTTTTTCATATAAAAATTTTATTATTTTAGGAGAGTGTTCAAAATGGATTGTTGTGACAAAAGAAAACAACCTACTTTCCTCTCTTCCTCTCTCAAATGCCAATAATTCCCACACAACCACTAAGCAGCGAAGTGAGTTATTAATTTTAGCTTATTAGAAATATCTTCTCTTTGGCCATGGGCACTACATTCTTGATTTCATCTCTCTTGATTGTGATATCATTAGTTATTCAATCTGAGGTCATAGCCTCATCTCATGAGTCTCATCACTAGCCGGTCTAGATACAAATGGCAAGCAGCTCCAAGCAGGACAACCCTATTATATTGTCTCAGCCATTCGAGGTGGTGGAGGCGATGTGTCACTTGACAGAAGGGAGAGGTCTCACTCTTCAACTATGAGGCAGCATGGTTCCGAAGTGAACTTTGACAGAAGGTAGAATTGTTTCATTCCCCAAAGAAAGAGCTATTGGGAGGATGCTTCATGGAGCGGGAATCTCATCATCATCTAGGGCAAGAACTATCCATGAGTTGATGGACGTGAACATTAGATTCTTGGCAATGCCTGCAGTTTTGCAAGTCCAAGAATTACAAGGGTCATCAACTCATCATCCCCAAGCAAGAGAAGGTATGCTACAATCGGTGGACAACCAAGACACCCTAGTTCCTCAACTGTGAGAAATTGGTTCAAGATTGAGCAAATCAACAGCTCCAGTCCAGAGTACCGCATTGCATACTGCCCTAGCGTGTGTGAGTCATGCCAGGTTGTGTGTGGGAACATGGGCATATCAACAGAGAGTGGGAAAAGGTGGCTTTCTGTGTCTCAACATAGAGAGTTCCCATTTGTGTTTGTCACAGACATAACTAAATTTGTGGCATGGAAAATGATGAATTCAATAAAGGGCTAGCTACCTCTTCTCCAACATTTACTACAATTTATAGCAACCCACATTTTATTTTCTTTAATGTTTTTTTTCTTGGGATTTTTTTTTTCAGAAAATGATTATGTGTATTTATCAAAAAAAAAATGAATGAGACTCTTCTTTAATCATTCATTTATTTATTTCTATTTTATTATTTTGTTTATTGCAAATTGTTAGACTTGGATCGGTTAAAAAACCAATGGTTCGTGATTTATTGATTGACTGTTGGATTAGTCCATTCAAACCATCACTAAATTGGGTCAGTTTGGCCAAGGGGTCAACACTAACCCAACCTTGAAGTGAAGTCAGATTAGCAAAAGTCAATCCTAAGTTCCTAACCCTATGGCCCAAATTGCAGCCCTAGTTAGATTAAAAAGCCATTCCATAAATAGCTTTAGGCCATGTTTGGGAGTGCTTATGTTAAAAATAAGTGCTTATTTTAAAAAAGAAGCACTTATTTTATATTAGGTGTTTGGTGGTCTTTTTCTCCAATAAGCACTTAAATAAGCAATTTTGACTCTTTTGTCCTTCATTTTCTTTCAAATTTTCAAAACACCCAATCCAAAAATGAATGAATAAAAGTACTTTGATAGAAGTGATTTTATAAAAGTACTTTTACAAAAGTGCTTTCATGAATAAAAATATTTTGAATGAATAAAAACACTTCTATAAAAGTACTTTTATAAAAACACTTTTATAAAAGTGATTTCGTAAAAGTACTTTGGTAAAAGTGTTTTTGCAAAAGTATTTTTATAAAAGTGCTTTCATAAAAGTATTGTTGTAATAAAAGTCATTTTATAAAAGTACTTTTGTAAAAACACTTTTATAAAAGTGCTTTCGTAAAAGTACTCTGATAAAAGTGTTTTCGCATAAGTATTTTTATAAAAATGCTTTCATAAAAGTATTTTTATAAAAGTACTTTCATAGATGTGCTTTTATAAAAGTATTTTCGTAAAAGCATAAAAATACTAAAACTAAAGAAAAAAAGCACAAAAATATCCTGAATATGAACTGTCCAATTAAAAGCTAAAGGATGAAAATATGTAGGTATTTCCAAGTCCCATTTTTCTTCTCTTTGAAGTATACTATAGATGTTTATTTTCGTCTGAGATATTTGCTAACAAACAACTTTGATTTTTGGAAGAACAAGCCCATATTCACTCACTAAAAAAGGAAAGTAGGATAGTTACCATCTCCACTACAAAGGATTTCAAAGAGGGGGGAAGACTAGAGAAAATTCAATAAGGTTAAGATTCCAATTTTCACCTTCCATTCCATTGGGAGAGATTAATACCTCTTTAAGATACCCTAGGAGAAGTCTAACCTTAAGACTATGTTTGGTTTGAAGGAAAAAATAGGAAAAGGTAGGGAAACCCATAGAAGATCTGTAAAGGTTTCCCTACCTTTCCTTTCCTTTCTCTACTTTTTCCTTCAAACCAAACATACTGTAAGTAGACCTGTTCATGGGTCGGACTGAGCCGGGCTTGGGCCGAACTTTTACTCTTCATAAATAGGATTTTGTTAGGCCTGAGCCCGAGCCTGGTCCTAATAAAAAGTCCAAAGCCTGGGCCTGACCTAACAAAAAGATAGGTCGGTGCTTGTGTCTATGTCTGTATTCACCGCCGGGCAAACAATAAGAGAGAAGTAGAACAAAAGGGCAAAGAGAAATGACTCATCGTCGGTGCCTGAGTTCGCGTTTGATAAATGAGCTAAGCTGAGATTCTGAGAGTGAGAGTGAAAAGTGAGAAGAGGAACAACCGAACAATGGAGAGAGAGAGGACTCACCAGTCACCACCGGAGTTCATTGGTTGCGCCGATGAAAGTGTTCGCCGGTTTTGTCTTCTTGAGAGTGTTTGGCTGTGTGAGACTATGACTGTGAGAGGTGAGTTCGTTCGGCTAAGAGAAAAATGAGGGATTAGTTGGTTAGAATATTTAGGGATTTTATACAAAAGTTAGGCTAGGACAGGCTTTTTTAACAAGTCCCAAGCCCAGCCCATAAAATAGTTGGGCTCGGACTTTTAGGCCCGAGGTCAAGCCCGCAGGCTAAAATGCATGCTCAAGCCCGTTCAGGATTCAGGGCGGGTCGGCCTGTGAACAAGTCTAACTGTAAGAGTCTTTGCATCACTCAAACTGCCCCTAGCAAGAATCAAAGCAATGGACTGGCTACGTATCCGGGTGTGACTTGGGCAGGCCTAGGTTGAGCATTTATTAAATTTTGGAAGTGTCTCAGGTGCCCAAGCTGATGCAATGGAAGTTCTTTAAATCAGCTACCCTATTTGCACCCTTAATATGGAGGTTAGGTATCTAAAAGTCATGGAAATTTTTGGTACAAGGCATGCTACTTTACTTTAGCGCAACTTTGGTGCCAACCTCAAATTATAACTAATATTAACGACTAGGACTTTTTCTCAAACTGCAAACAGTTCACAACGCCTTCAGCTTGCTTGTTTTTTTTTTTTTTATCAGTAATATTCTTATTTTGATAATCATTCTTCATTCATACGAAAATTAGAAGATGGACAAAACTTCAAAGAATTTAAATGATTTAAAACAAGGGTTAAAATGGTTGGGTTAACTAAAACTGGTTAGAGGTTTAGAAAGCTCTTAGGGGTAAAAGAGGGTGAATCTGTGGGGTAGGCCCAATGCCACAGTCGCTTGGATGCATTAACCTGCTTTCTACATTGTGTGCCTTGAGCCATTTTCTTCCTTTGGATACAACCATTGTAACTCAGATGTTGTAAATTTCCTCGGAATGTATATTAAGTTGACACTGTTTGTCATTTCATTGGAGGTCACGACATGCTTGACCAGCCATTTGTATCAAGTAGCTGCAATTTGTATCAAGTATAAAAAAATGTACATGGTTTACAAGAGAAGGTAAGACAAAAATTACTACTCCCAAGTCCATACAATCACTACAATTGCTCCCTAATAATCCCTTGTTTACCTAAAGCATCAGCCATACTCTTGGCCGATCTTTGTAAAATGACAGTATTACAAGTAGACATCAGTAAGTATATGCAGTGCAAGCAACCCCAAGAGAGGTGTGAGATGCCACTTCTCCCTTCATAAAAAAGAAAGGGAAATTTCCACTTTAGTACCCTCAATTTTGGGGGTAGTGTCAAGTTAGTTCCTGGACTTCCAAATGTGTCGCTGCAGTACCTAAACTTTCAAAAAGTGTCAAGTTGGTCCCTGCTGTTAACCAACCGTCAATTATCTGTTGAAAATGTCAAAATTATCCTTCAAAAGGACTGTTCATTGTCTTCTACTTTGAGACTGAACTGGTTGAGAGTCTAGACTAATGAAGTCATTAGATCTGAAAAACATTATTGTCTAGTTATTTCTTTGCTTTCAGTTATTGTTTCCCTCTTATCATATTTCATGTTTTTTCTCTCTTTTTCTTTGAAGATAACTGGTTCAGTCTCAAGGTAGAAAACAATGAACAGTGTCTTCTTTTGAAGGGTAGTTTTGACATTTTCAACAGATAACTGATTGTCAGTTAATAGCAGGGACCAACTTGACACTTTTTTTTGAAAGTTTAGGTACTGCAGTGACACGTTTGAAAATTCGGGTACAAACTTAACACTACCCCCAAAGTTCAGGGTACTAAAGTGGAATTTTCCCAAAAAGAAAAGCAATTACAAATGCGCCCAAAACAAAAGAACCCTATTCACCCCTTGTTTAGCAGGAGTATCAGCAAAAGTATTGGCAGCCCTTCTCACCCAATGTATTTCCAGACTCGTGTTTCTTGTTAGCCATTTAAATTTCTTCAATTCATTTTTGTAACCCCAAACTACAGACTCCAACTCCTTCAGCCACCCCACCACCACACTAGAATCACCTTCAATTAACAGATTTCCCAAGTTTGCCTCGTTAGCAATTTTAACACCCTGCAACACTGAGCAATTCAGCTCTAGTAGAGTTCCCCACTCTCACTGGTCCCAAGAACAAGCAATGAAGTTTCCTTCCTCATTTCTCAAAATTCCCCCTACTCCAGATGACCCAGAATACCTTGGCTACTCCTATCAAAATTTAGTTTGACAAAACCATCTAAAGGGAGCTTCCACACTGACATTACTTTTTCTTTGCTGGAAGAGTTTCTTGCAAATATACCAGTTCCTCCAAAGATCATTAAAGGAGAAATTAGAGAAGATACCCATGGTTTTTAACCAGTGAATAGCCTTACCTTAGTCAGCACACATTCTTTCACTGCTTCCTTTTTACCTTCTCTTGAAAGAAACATTCTTGCATTCCTCTCTTCCTAGATGGTTCAAATTAAAGCTGCTCTTATGCATCTCCACATAATCCTCCCCTTTTATTCAGCAACACAAGAGTCATTGGATCAAAGTGACCATTTACCTCCACCAGCAAGTTCCACCTGCATCCAAATAAATTAAAAAAAAAAAAACATTTCCAAATATCTATAGTAAAAACACAAGAAATTAGTAAGTGGTAACACTTAACAGCTCTCACTGTTGGATTTGCATTGGATAAACCAACGAGGAGATAAACAAAGATGTGGTTCTTCCTAGTGTTAACCTTCTCATGACACTTCACAGAAACACCTATTTTGGGAGGCACTGGTTTACACCAAACTTCATTAGAATGGACAACCTGGGGAGAAGGCAATTGACAGAGGGACCTAAAGGAGGCACAAGAGAAAACACCCTCAAGATGAGGAATCCACAAATGCCTGTTAGGTTTAGAGGGGTCCAAGCAGACATTATCAAGAAGTACAAGGTTAACAACTGAATTAGGCTCATCATCCTGCAACCCTCTACAAAACCAAGATTCCAATTCTGGCCCATGGCAAGGAAAGTCCCCAGAGCATACACCATACCTTATAAAGCAGAGAAAAAGGGGAAGAACATCACAAATAGCCTTCCAAGGTGACGCCAGAGAAGCCCTATATGATACACTTGCATCCCAGCCATTTCCCACTTTGTCATGAATACTCGCAATTACCTCATGCCATAACTTCTAATACTTTCTTCCCTAAATGTGTTTGGGTACCGCGGTGTTGTGTGTCCATTGTGTTTATGCATTGAAAATTGGAGAAAAATACATTACAGGCATGAATTGCAATGCAACATCCAACATTGTTTGTTGTGTTTTATTACACACAAGTGCTAGAAGACGCCGCATAGGTGAAACAAAAACACAACAATGGAAACATTAAATGATGTTTCCTCTAAAAGTGAGTTACACGTAACTTGAGATAAGAAAAGAGCAAAACGTTTGTACTTGATGAACCTAACAAACAAGATGCAAGTATAATCGCCTATGTGGCACTAATGTGTTGCTAAAACAGAATCACAACTGAACACAACATCACGGTACCAAACATCGCCTAAGAGTCTGCTCTAGTAGTGTAGCATTGTGCCAATTCACAAAGTCGATGGACAAATAGAAAGATTGGATGAGGGTTTAAAAACCCTTGAATTACTATGCTATTGACCAATTCACAAAATTAACACGAGCAAAAAGATTAAACAAGCCAATAAAAAACAGTTTATATCATGCCATCATTATTAAAACATGAATAAACAGAGATTGACTATCCATCTGGTAGTCACTACATAAAGGCTTATCGCCCCAGCAATGCAACACGGTCCTTCTGAATTGCCTGGGAGAGGTTGAGGTCAAAAAGCTCACACCGAATTGGCATTTCCATCTCATAGAAGGGATTTTTCAACACATAATCTGTGTACAGTTCATAGATGATTTTTAAGAGGTCATCCATGTGCTGTGTTCCAGGTTCACAAACCACAAAGAATTTTGTTCCTGCAATAAGAAATACAGTACGGAGATTACCATAAAATATATCTCATAAGTTTAAAGGTGGGGTTTCCCTTTCATAAATTTGTCAACAATGAAAGCATGTGATTACAGAATCAAATTCTACAGAAATGGAAGACTTTTAAAATACAGTTATTGATTCCCCATAACCAAAATAGTCAGAAGAACCAATTTAAAAGCCACCAATTGATGATCACAGTATACTTTTATCATATATACCATTACAATCATTAAAAATAATACCTAGCCAAACATTATAGTACAAGTGTACCACATTCAGACCATAGATTTGCAGCTTTTTCAACCACTTAGTTGACTCGTATCAGCAATGAATACAAACTTTCTCCCAATTACTAGATGTGAATTAAATATAACTCACTAAATAATAGAAATGAGAATGAAAAAAACAGCAATGGATAGGGAAAAACATCAGCTGGGTTTGGTCAACTAGTTAGTTGATATTTAGTCGTCCCAAGGAACCACATCATCATGAGTATCGATCGACTAGTTAGTGAAATAGTTGGAATGAGTAATTGAGTATGACCCCCAGTTGATGCTCTGATAACATTGAATAGCACAGTGAAATCATTTTGGGCATGGTACAATCAGTTGGGAATTATCAAAGTTGAACGAAAATACAACAACCGATTAGCATTGTTGCATGAGTCTTCTGAATGGATATTGGACACACCTTGGGCTCTTAACACCCTGTGGATTCTTGACACTTCTAGGTGACATTTTTCTTTATCTCATTGCTAAATGGACAGCTAATATACACATTGAATGCCATCTTTTTCTGCAAAATATTAAGAAACAAAGATAGTCATTTAAATATGTTTTCTATGGGTTTAGTGTTAAATTCAACAAAATGGAGTACTTATTACACATTTTTTATCAGTGAGTATTTCTGCTGATTAGAAATCTTCTATATATAGCAGTTAAGCTAGAAAGAAGAAGAAGAACTGTTTACTGTATTAGAGAAGTAAATACAGGTTAAGACAAGAAAGAGAGAGAGAGAGAGAGAGAGAGAGAGAGAGAGAAAAGAAGAGTGAAGAGAGGAGAAAAGAAAGAAGGGGTTTGGTGGTTAATGATCTGCCACCCCATACACTTCTTTATTTATAGCTTTAGGTTCCTTACAAGAATAGGAAATAAACAAAAATTATAAACAATAAGGCCAGCTGACCCAACTTAAAAGAAATTAGAAACTTCTAATAAAAGAAATTAGAAACTACTAATTAAAGAAATTAGAAACAACTAGGTGTGGGTATGAAACCACACACACTAGAGCCTGAGTGTGGGTATGGAACCCCACACTCGTGGCTAGCCAACTATTTCTTCAGTTAAAATTAATTTCTAGAACAATTTTGAAATGGTCTTTCCTTCCTGGTCAAAAAATAACCTTTCCATCTATTGCTTCAATCTTTCTATGCTCCAGAGGTGATTTTAGAGAAGAGTTAATCACATGGACAATGATGATGACATTATGACGATGATGAGCAGCAGGGGAATTATAGTGATGTAGAGTTTGGATTGACAAGAGAAGATAAAGATTTTGTAATGAAGTCTCCTATTGGTGAAGATGATTTCAATTACAACCAGAAAGGCACAACATGGCTCCCATAAGGATGGGATGAAGACGAACTTTTCTAAACATAATAATAGTGCATTTGGTAACTAATGACAGTGATGCTTAATGCTGGTAACGAGGATAACGTTTCAGAGAATGTGTTAGAATTCGGAATGTTTGATGAGGGTAGTTTTAGTTCTGTGGTTGACATTGTGGTAAAGAATCCAAAAAGAGAGTAAGAAATAATGATTTTCAAGATGACTGGTTTAAATCTTATATATGTCAGGCAAATAAGATGGTGTTTGGCATCAAAATGTTTATTAGCATAGCCATTTTTCCTTAATTAGGACATGCATTGAAGTAGTAACAAATGATATAAAGCATTCTTAATTAAAAAATGGACATGGCACTGAACAGAACAGAATGGTGAAACAGGATTGATGTAGCTGACCCCATATAGTTGGGACAAGGCTTGGATGATGATGGTTTTGCCTTAATTGGTGATGCAACACCATAAGCATTTTGTTAATATTTCCAGTAGAAACATCTTTGGCAAAGAAAATGCTGACATTAAGAGAAGTCGACATCGTGTTTGGATTTGTATATTTTAGAAATTATGGTGCAATTGTGAGGTGAAAACTGACAACTAATAAGGAGTTATGGTGGTTCACTTTTCAATGCATCACGTTAGAGGGAACTATCAAAAAATGCACCATGTTAGAGGAGGAATCAAAGCAAAGCTGCTGGTTCCTGAATGGGTCCCAAGCACATCCTAAGTTGTAAAAAATGGCAATTTGATTTTTTTTTTTTGATAAATAATGGCAATTTGACATTTGCCCAAGCACAACACTTTAAGGTGGGCTATTCTGTTTATTAACATGGGCAAAACCAGCATTAGCAAGTAGGATTTTTTGCCTCTTTCATCTAAACTACTGATGCGGCAACTTCATACAATCACATCATAATGTCATTTGATGTCGGAAATGTAATGCAAGCCAAACAAAGGGTGGCACAAGCAGCTAACTGCAGAGAAGTAGTGTTCACGAGGTAATGGAAAATATGTGAACATATTTTTGGAGCCTTGTTATGCCAAAGTTAGCGGCATTGGATATCCAATTTATCCAATGGAAGATGCCAAATTCTAGATATGGTTGAATAGATATTTGGAGAGGAAGCTTAGAATAATAGGAGGATGGATGGCATGTCTTAAGATAATATCATCAAGCAAGTGCTTTTGCACTTCTTGCATTGAAGGCATCTTTTGATAATAACAAAAAAAAGCTTGTTATCAAGATTGTTTCTTTTAGAGCATAGGAGAATCCAACTCTCCCTTTAGATTTATATGGTGGAAGGTGGAAGCAATAATTTCAATGTAAAATAATGTTTTGGAAGGTGGCTAGACAATTGCTTTATATTCAAGATGGTTGGGAAGGGAGATTCTCTTAGAGCAGAAGTGATGGCAATGCTGGAAGGCATATAAAGGGCAAGGACAATGAACATTAGTGAACTAATTGTTGAGGGAGATTCAAAATTGGCTGTCAACTGGATACAAAATGAGGAGATGAAGATATGGATCTAAGACAATGAAAGGAAGAAAATCAGGTGGCTAACTAGAGACATGGAAGTAAATTACAGTTGGGTTAAGCTGAGTGCTAACTCTGTAGCTGATGCTCTAGCTAAACAAGGGGGAGAGAATCTTTGTTGTGGCATAGTTGTAAGGGAGAGAAAATATCATGGGAAGAGATAAAAGGTTTTATCTCTCATTGTCTTTGTTCTGTACCTATATTCACTGTACTTCTAATTGCTCTCACTAATAAAAAACATTTGTGGTTATTGATATTGAAAAAAAAAAAAACTGTTGCTTGTGAATTGTTGAAACCCCTGCCACCAACCTAGCTTGATTAGCATGGACAACTGTTTAGTCTATGTCAACTTGGTTTTGGTTCACAACAACTGTTTTAGCATGTGCATAAGACTTTGACTATACGTACTAGGCTGGAGTCACTGGACTCCATTATTACACAAACCAGAAACTAACACATTATAGAGCATGTTGCCCAAAACTACAAATTGCATTTGGTTTCTAGTACTGTGTTATTATCAAGCCTCATAAGAAAAAATGCAACAAATATCCTAATTGAAATGCAATACTGAACAAGTCTAAACCATAAAGTCCATCTCAGTTTTTTATATTGATTTGTAATAAGCATTTACCAAGAAAAAAACTGTAACAAGCCACATACACAAGAACTTAGCCAATGCATTAATGTCTGTACAAAGAAGAGATCAATAATACAGTATATCCATTTCGAATTCTGATATTGAGTTATGATCAAATCTCACATGTGAGAATTATCCAAATATACAAATTAAAATATTGTGTGGAGCAAGCCGCAGTAACAGAATTTATCAAGATAATTAAACTGTAAATTATTCAACAATGAACATGCCTAAGCAAATACTATTTGGAATTACCAGTAAGTGACTGGAAGCAGTGAAGATCAAATGTGTCAGCTTCGAGGAGTTCAATCCCAGAACAACCCATAGTGGGCGACAATTGTTGAGAGATCGCATGCATTGAATGCCATAAACTTGCCAACCGCAGGCTATCATTTGTATCCATTCGCCCTGCTGATCCGTAATCCTAAAATGTAAAAACCATATTAGAACACAGAATTACTTACCAAAAATATATAAGAACAAGGGAATTCTTTCAAAATGTTCCAAAAGTGCAATCCATAAATAAATAACTTATGAATCAATAAAGGAAAGAAGAATACCTTGTAGAAGATTAATCCCCCAGATTTGTTGATGATAAAGAGGCTGTATATTGCGGCCATTAAGAAGACTCTAGAATAACCTGAATATTGAAAATATAGAGGTCTCATGACTGAGAATATACAATAAAAGATGGAAACATATACAACCTTATTCAATCATGGATTAACACATTCATAGATGCAAGTTTGAGGGTGAAAGCTAATTGTAGATTGATTCCTGAGGTATGCAAAAAAGTAGGGCTCCAATGAACTGTATCAACGGTTTAGAACCCCAGACTGTAATTCATTTGGATCTTGAATTTCAATCCAATGATCGTTCTCGCTTGTTTGGGCACAGTAATATGTTTGCCACATGGCAACTTTTGGCCATTACTATGCCATGTCATCTTATAAAACGTCAGGTTTGTATTGTGGGGTCGGACAACATATCAATTTATCAAAATGGAATGAAATCAGGTATCCTGCCAAATTTTCTCAACAATCAAACATTGGAAAACAAATATTCTCAGATAACTGGTCTCAGCAACCAAACACAAGATGCCAAAATGAGAAAACAAATTTTCCTTTTGCATCCCATTCTTTCTCTGAAACCAAACAGACCATTTGGTCATTTTCAAGGAAACCAGGTTAGATGATTCACAGGGCAAATGGAGACTTGAATTCTCTACAGTGTCATTACTATAATCATAGGTAAGGCTTTTAGTACCCCATAAATGCTGATAGAAGGCCACAAACAAAACACCCATTTAACCTTTAAGACCATAAACAAGGCTTTTACTTTGCTCGGAATACCTCTCCTTGCTCGTAGACTTTTTCCCTAATTTGAACATGCCATTTGAGCTTTACCAAAAAACAAATAGAACATGTGATTTGAGGATGAGCACTGATACCAAATATTAGTATTGGGTATGTAGGTATTCAGCCTTTTAAACCATTTAATCAATTTAATCTTTTTTATCGTGACAAGGCAACACCCACATACAAAACAACAGAAGAAAACTGCTAGGAAGCAGAATTAAAATAAGCCATCCAATTTACAAAGTTGAAAGTTGAAACCCCAAGATACCTCCCAATTTGTCCCCTAAATCCTCTCTAGAAATTTGATTAAATTCTGGAGATACCAGAACCCAGTCTGCAACCAAGTTGCTAACAGCTGCCACAATCTTGTCCAGATTTTAACATTCGTCTTCAAAAATTCTTCTATTCCTTTCCTTCCATATATTCCAGCAGATTGCGAGTGGGATACACCTCCAATAGCAACCTTGATTTCTTGCTTCCTCTTAACTTTGGTCATGAAGACAAAATTTTTGCAGCAGATTCTGTCTGAAAGTTTGGTAACACAAAGTCACAAACAAAGTAGTGAAGATTTCCCACAAAAACCCAGCAACCTTACATGAGAGGAATAGATATCCAACAGTTTCCTCCTGTTCTTTGCATAGGAAGCACATGTTAGCCATGCTAAAACCCCGGGATTTCAGATGATCCACAGTCAATATGTTGTCCATTGCCACGAGCCAAGCAAACACTTCAACCCTTGGAGGGACTGGATTTCCCCAAACACCATCTATCTGATTTGGATCTGAATCATCCCTGAGAATAGCTATGTAACATGATTTAACAGAGAACTTCCCATTTGAGCACTCTTTCCACCAAAGTTCATCCCTTGTCTGAGTTGATCCCCCCCCTCCTCTCGTAACATTGATTTATAGGAACTTCAGCCTCAGTCAGAAATTCTCCGAATCACTGTTTATGACAATATAACATAACACCTAACAAAGAAGGAATGTTATTAACGACAAGTTTCACGCAATCCTTGATTTTTAGACAAAATTAGGTTTGATTTTGTCTTGTTTTGAAAAATTTTCGTTTAATAAAATATTAAAAGGGGCAGTAATTGAGCTGGTGATTGTGGTTCAGAAGATTAAGAATGTCATTTTTTTTCTGTATCTATTTGGAGGAATAAGCCTCCGGAGTTGTGTTAAACTTTAATTTCTGTTTATATAATAAAGGTTTATTTGCTCAGAGAAATGCAATTTTTGAATTTTTTTTCTCTGGTCAGAGGAGACTTGTGAAAACATATCCTTTTTTTTTGTTCAACAAAAAACATATCCAACCTTATCTTAAACGTGCCATTTCATGGGTCTGTGGGAAAAAGACTAAGAAAATTAAAAATTGATCCAGATAGTGTGGAAAGAGGGAAAAGATCTTCTGCTCTAGGCTGCCCCTGAATAGTTCAGATAGGACTTCATTTGAAGTTTGGTTGGTTTACATGGGAAAACAGACAGGTCCATGACTAGACGGGAAACAGTAAACTTAGACCAGAAATACAAGGACAGAGACATTTTATAAGAATATAGAAAACGTAGAAAGAGAGCCTTATTCCCATTAGCATATAGAATGGATAATAATAAGTTACACATGTTGAAATATAGGGATGTAGGGATCCCAGCCTTTTCTTTCAAACCAAACACGAAGTGGCTGAGATTGCAAAAGACATAGGGGCTGAGTTTAAGTGGGTCAGAAGGACTCTCTAGCTAAACAGGGTGTAACAAGACAACAGTTGTTTTGGGGTGGTTTGTAATGGGGTTTTGAGCATAAGAAATAAATTTCCTATGATCATGTTATATTAATTACCTTTTTAATCCATTAATATAAATCATTTTTTCTGATAAAAAAACAGCCTTAATGAGAGCTTCCCACATTGGATCAAAAGTCAAAAACCCAGTGCAAAAATATAAAACAGGGGTAACTAGGTATGCCTACATAAAGCTAATGGCTAATAGGCCTTCCTTGTTCCATTCAAGGCTACTTAGCACTTACTATACAAAGGTACAGGTGGGTACCCATCTGCCCTTGACCAAATTAAATTGAAGCCCCCCCCCCACACTCTCTATTAAACGGATCAAGCACAGTCCCAGTAATTTTTTTGTGGTGAAAAAGAAAAGAAAGCAACATACAATCACCAATAAGGTGCAGAGAATACACCAACAAAACACCAGCCTCAAAGAACGGACACCTGCATACGTGACACCCACTCCCCTTTCAACAACAAAAAAAATCACTACATTGGACAAACAACACGCTAACACAATCTTCCCCAAAATCAAGCTTCGCGGCCCCACCCCCTACTCAACTTCAACTTCACTCCTCCCCTCAAAAAACTCCTGCCCACCCTCCTCGTTCCAAACTTCCCCTCCTTCAGCAACAAATTTCTTCAATTTTTCTTCCCTTTAGCTCCTCTTGAACTTTTCAAAAGCTCTCCTAACAAGAGCCTCTCCTCCTAAGAAAAATAATCCTAGGGATTTGCCAACCTTAACATCCCTATCTACCAATTTCTCAATCTCCGTAATTTATTGTAGTCCAAACTGGCAAACACTGTAAGAAACCTGATCATAACAGACCCAACGGCTTATATCAATAACTACCACTGTCTTAGTATATGAAGTTTTGTCGTTTTGGTTTCCCTAACCAAAACTGACCGAAAGTGGATTTTTTTTTTTTTTGAAGCTTCCGAAAGTGAAAAGATTGAATGAACTACCTTTATAATGATAGAAATGTTCCAAGAAATAACGAAATAAAATGAAAAGCAATAGCGAGAAATTGGAATAAATCCAATACAATAAAACAATTTATGAGGCAAAATGCAGACAAGTGGAGAAATCAGCTCAATAGTTAAAATATCACAAAGCATCTGAAAATTAAAAACAAAAAGAGGGTTTTGAGATCCGGATATCAAGACTGAAGCTCGAAATCCAACTCCCAGATTCGACTTTTGAGTGGTGTAAACACCAAAAAGTATCATTTCCAGCCATAAATTCATAGACAAAACAATTTATGCAATAAAATAATTTCCAGGAAAAGCGTGTAATTTTCATTAGATGATTTAGCATCTCTACGTGCTACGTTTGAGCTACATCAGGGAAAAAAATATCGAGGAGCAGAAGATGAACAGACACATAGGTCTTAATGAAAGAAACTATAGCTCATTCTCTAACTTATATGGCTTGTAAGTATGAAAGAGATCAATGTGTGGATATATGTCTACAAGGTGTGGATTTGCAAACTATTTTCAGTATTATCAATGAATGATTTCGACTATTTTTTAAAATGAAAAAAATAAATAAACGAACCTGACAATGGGAAACCTTGCACATTCCCTTTAAAAGCTTGGAATCTACAAACTTCATCGAGATGGAGAGAGGGTTTCACATTTTTAATGGATCTTGAAATGCGACAAGAGAATCAAACAAAATCAATGCCTTTTACGAACAAACTATATAACGAGAATCAAAGAGAAAAGATACCTGAAAAGAAGAAGAACTGAAGAAGCCTTTGCGATACTCAAGGTCTCTCTCGCGCTCGCTCTTCCGTGTCTTCTGTCTTTCTTTCTCTCTGCTTCTCTTTCTCCAGCTATTTCTGCTCACAACTACAAATTATTCCAACATGATTTGTATCCATACATCGCGGCCATGATGGCCTGATGGATCCCAATTTTTTATGAGATGTGGGGTTAGAGTCCGGAGAGCACCTCACACCGACTTCACAGCATGTTTTGGCCGCACAGAGTGCTTATTTGACTTATTGGATGTACAAGTATTTAAAAATAAAAATAAGTGCTTACCTTAATAATAAAGGTTTTAAAAAACTGATTCGAAAACGGAATCATTTTAGCTACCGATTTTTGGGTCAGCGGTTCGACCGTCTAGGTTAAATGGTTCAGACAGTTTTACATTAGGGCAAACTAGCAAGTAGTTATATATACTTATATATGAGAAAAGAGAAGTAGAGGAGAGTTTTTGTCCATTGCGAAAGAAGAAAAGAAGGAAGGAGAAAGGAAAAAAAAAAAAAAAGAAAAGGGGGGAAAGAAAAGGAAGGAAGAAAGAGGGAAAGAGGGAAGAAGAAGAAGGAAGAGGATAATCATTTGATGTTCATCGGCGATGGCGATGATGAGATGGAAATGGCGTACTAGCATGGATGACATATCTGAGATATGAGTTCTTGGATCTCAGATCTGAGATCGATTTTTCATTTTTTTTCTGGGATCTGAGAAAAATCTGCAACTTCTTCTTCTTCTTCTTCTTCTTCTTTTCTCTGTGGATATTAGATCTCAGACTCAAAGAGTCAGAGTTTCTCTTCTCTTTGTAATTTCTTAAGCCACGAACCATTGTCCGGGTCAAACGAATCAACGGTTCGACCACCTGGGTCAATAGTTTTTTGATGAAGTCAACGGTTTTTTACCCAAGAATAGATCAGGGGTGAAACGGAAACCGGTTGCTTGAACGGTTTCCGGGCCGAACGGTTTGACCATTCGAATCAACGACGGTTCAAAACATTGCTAGTAATCAACAAGCGCTTACGGTGTTTGGTAATCACTTATTTCAAATGTGTTGGGATCTCCTTGTAACAAAAACTGTCCTAACATTGTTTCAACATCATAGGTAATCTCATGAGTTAGGATTCAGTATCTCACAAAACTATCATTACATCATCTTCACAGCCTTTTGCAGCCTTGCATTAGGAACATCTCCTTACTTGTATCTTTTATTCAGAGGATTTGTAGTAAGGGCCTGTGTGTTAAGACGGTTTTATGATGATCAAATCTGATTTCCTCCTTTGTTGGAAGGGGCCCATTTCTTTTCTTTTCTTTTTTTTTTTTTGGTAGAAATAGATTTTGGCAAAGGGGTGATTCGAACTTGAATCTCCCTCCACAAGGAAGGGGCCCATTTCATATAAAAACTCACTAGCAGAGGGTCCCCTACTTCGCAGGGGTGGGAATTGCAACATTGCTATTTGCTACATTAAAAAAGACAATGGTTTTTTAATAAGAAACTTGCACTTATAAGTACCCAAGTCTTGAAAATCATATAAAAACTTAAAAGAGATCATCATGTGTTCATTTTTTAAATATTGTTTCGGCAAAGCATCTCATATAAAAGAATTAATACGATCATATAGTAATAGTTACGAGTTCTACTTCATAGTTGTCCTTTGTTTCACATCGAGAACTCCCAGTTGACCTAGATAGTAGGACCGTTCGGCCTGAGAACCGTCTAGACAACTGATTCTATTTTACCCCAAACTCGGTCTCTAGCAAAAAAATCATTGAATTAGTCAACAACCCGTTGACTCAAGCGGTCTACCCGTTAATCGGTTTTTGGCCATTTTTTTATTTTTTAATTTTTGTTGTAAGAATGGGCCATCTATTTGAACTGGACGGTCGAATCGTCGACCTAGAAACCGGTGGCCAGAATGGTTCCATTTTTTAGTCGTTTTTTCTAGATGTCAATAACTAGACTAAATAACTTTGTAGTCATAGTCATGGGAAGGGTGAACATTGTAAGGGATTCCAAAACCTTGAAAGATAAATCCAAAGTGACCTTAAACATAGAAAAAAAAGGYGGTAAATCCACCAAACTGGAAAACCCAAAGAAAAAAATTAGAAAACCGAGTTCAAAATTCCGCTTTGAAATGAAGCTAAACATGCATGCAATCAAAGAAAGAGACAAAGCAGATCGTCATGTATGAAAAAAAAAAAACATTGCACAAGAAAACCCAAAGAAAAAAACAAAAGGGAAGAAATAAAATGGTGGTAAACCCTAAACCTTTTTGGAGAATCTTGAAGAAAAATACCAAACACAAAAAAAAACAGAAAATGAAAAAAAAAGGAACATACTGCACACGCTCGAATAAAGCCAACAATAGAAGAAACCTTTGAATGGTAAAAATCTAAAAGCACAAAAAACCATGGTTTTTTAACCGCCGTTGACCCAGACGAACGGGCATTTTGGCTCAAGAACCGTCCAGGCAATCAGTTTCGTTTTACCCCAACCCCAGTCCCTAACCAAAAACCATTGAATCGATCAATGACCCATTGACCCGTTCAATGGTTTTTTACCAGTTTTTTTTTATTTTTTTTAATTGGGAACCGTCTAGGCAACCGATTCCATTTTATCCCAATCCCAGTCCTTGGCCAAAAACCATTGAATCGGTCAATGACCCATTGACCCAGGCGGTCGAACCATCGACCCGTTGACCTGTTCAATGGTTTTTGGCTATTTTTTGTTGTCAGAACGGGCCATCCATTTGAACCATCAACCCGAAAATCGGTGGTCAGAACGGTTCTGTTTTCGGGTCGTATGAGTCACACGCTCAAATGACATAACATGTATGATACTGCTTAATTGACCTCACACACTCAATTTTTTGCCTGTAATTTTTGTTGTCAGAATGGGCTGTCTGTCAAACCAGACAGTCAAACTATCACTTTTTATTTTTTTAATTGGGAATCGTCCAGGCAACCAGTTCTGTTTTACCCCAATCCTGATCCCTGGCCAAAAACCATTGAATTGACCCAAGCGGTCGAACCGTCGACTTATTCAATGGTTTTGGTCATTTTTTATTTTTATAATTTTTGTTGTCAGAATGGGCCAATCGTTCGTTCGAACCGGATGGTCGAATAATCGACCTAAAAACCAGTGGCCATAATGGTTCCATTTTCGGGTCGTATGAGTCACACACTCGAATGACATAACACGTATGATATTGCTTAATAGACTTCACACACTCAATTTTTTCCCTGTAATTTTTGTTATCAGAACGGGTCGCCCGTTCGAATTGGACGGTTGAAATGTCGACCCAAAAATCGGAGCCCAAAACGATTCCATAAGTTTTTGCTTATAATTTTTGTTGTTAGAACAGGCCATTCATTTGAATCGGACAATCGAACCGTCGACCCGAAACCGGTTATATATATATATATATTAAATGGCTGCCATTTGGCGAAAGGGGAGACCACCCTTATCCCTTTAATATATATATATATATATATATATAAGATGAATTTGGCTCCCTCATTCTCGGGTATGTACATGTATCACTTTACTATTGGCTTTCTCTCTACAGTGTCTACCAAAGAAAATCTATGGTATGAACTTGGGTCCCCAATAGTATTGCCAACTATTGGGGCAATACTTGGCTCCTACCTCGTAGGAGAGGACATGCGTCCTATCACCTCTTGATTTTTACAACCTGTTGTTGATCCGATTGGTTGAACCATTTGAATTACCACCCGATCAAGATTTTGGGTTTGGTTTGAGTAAAACCCAAAGGGAGGTCAAAAACTGTCCAATCTAGACGGTTGGATTATTGACCTGTTTGACTTGATGATCAGGTCACGGGTTGCACATTTAATTTAATGTGTATGCAAATTTTAGAAGGTCGTAACTTTACACTTCGATGTCCAATTGATGTGTTTTTTTTTTTGGTAACTTTTTGATATCTATACTCCCAAGGGGTCGTATGCACCTTGCCTCTATATTTTTTCCAAAAAAAACCTCTTTTGGCCTCAAATTGTAATTTTTAATATTCTTTACAAATAAAAAAATTTAAAACTGAATTAAAAATAAAATAAATATAAAATAATACATATATTAGGTGTAGAACATAATTATATATTATTTATTGATAAAGTACATATTTATACATACCTATACACATATGTATATGATGTGTGTGTGTGTATGTATGTATTGCTGATGTGGCATGGTCTAACCCGTTTGATCTGGACGATCAAACTGGTGACGACCTAGAGGCAAAAATTGTTTGGCCTCCGATTGTTTTTTTTTTTTAAACATTGGATTTTCATATTTAAACCTTGAAACCTAAAGCCTAGATCCTAACCCTAGACCCTAAAATCTAAATTCTAAACCCTTAAACTCTAAAAACCCTAAAGCCTATAATCTAAACTCTAAACCTTTAAACCCTAAAGTCTAACCCTAAACCATAAACTCTAAAATTTAGAATCTAAACCCTTAAACCCTAAATCCCAAACCCCTAAACCCCCACACTCAAACCTTACACCTTGAATTTATTGTATAAAATGCCTTTAGCAGGACACATGTCTTCTAATGGATAAAAGCCAACTACTTTGTTCTCACTTGGGATTGAATCCCATTTGCACCAGGGTTGGAGGGTTATGGGTTTGGGGGATTTAAAAATAAAAAAAGAAAACTACATCTAACTTTTATATTGTGTATAGTGTTCCCAAACATGCAAATCGGATAGCTTTTGCATTGTATGATTTTTTCTCTTCTTGTTTTGCACGACACAAACGATGAGTGCACTATTTTCAGCATTTGGAAACTAACGATGCAAATAAACGATGAGTGCACTTTCCATGAAGCTCACAATAGTGCCCTAAATGGCTAGATGGAAAATAATCTAATTGAGCGGATTAAATTAAATTAAACGTTATTGGATAAGTGGAAATTTAAAATAAATAACCTATATTTTATGAATTGCATTTTTCTTGGGAGGATGTCGAAATAGAAATGAAATTATGACATCCATTTTACATGCAATCCACTATACATACATCTATTGTTAACAAAGCCTACAAATAACATAGACCGAAGCCTTTAATATTAACCATCTTTACAGTTATTATTGAAAGGGATCATTGAAGCAGTGTTTTCAAAACTGGTCTGGAACGGACGATGGAATAAAAAAAATAGGAATTGGTCAGAAT